TTATATATGATTCCTTGTGGACATATACTTTCATTTTTGTTGGGCAGATATCTTTCAAAAGTACTATGCCTTACAGTGGTACTGCTTAGATAGTAGATATGTGTTTAACTTTGTGTGTATGTGTGTGTGGTTCTGATGGAACCCGAGGCATTGCACATACTAAGCATATGTTCTACCATTGAACTGTAACTCCAGTCCAAACTTTTTAACTAAAACTGAATGATACACCCAAACGGGAAACCAAATTCTATAAAACTCACAGAAGAAAAAAATATTTTTTATTTGACAACAAAATGTGATTCACAAAAGAAAAAACTGATAATTTAATTCTCCCAAAAGGAACATCTTTGTTTTCTCAAAAACATTGTGCCCAGACTGAAGGTAAAAAAATCACATGTATGACAAAGGACATACATCCAGAATGTATAAAGAACTCTCAAAACTCAATTATAACACAAGTGTATTTTAAAAAAATGCACCAAAGATCAGGATGGAAAGTAGATGCCTGGATGGCAAAAGAAAAGATGGTCAACATTACTAGTCATGAGAAAAATGCAAATTAAGACACAATGATTGAGGGCAAGGCCAGCCTGGCCTACACAGTGAACACATGACAGAAGCCAGGGACACCACTCAGCACTACAGTGTGCAAGACAGCTCCCCACAGCAGAATTTCTGCCTTGACATGCTCATAGTGCTGAGATTGAGGGAGCCTGACCTGACATTTTGACCTCAAGACATGCCCTGAGCCTTCCTAACTTGCTTGTGAAAGTGACCTAGACTAACTGCCCAGATACTGTGCTGCAGCTTTTCTTCAGAAGAAGGGTATTATTGCATTGGCCAATTCCTGGGTAGCATGCTTGTCACAGGAATACAGAGGAGGGAGTCCCATATTAGGCACTGGAATCTGAACTAGGAGAATAGCACCAGTTAAAAAGCACTTTTTTGAGCTAATCACTGTGCTAAAAGGTTTTGTTGAGCTAGGGTTGTGGCTCAGTGTTAGAGTAACTGCTTAGCATACTTAAAGGCCTGAATTATAACCCCACCACTGCAGTACATCAAACAAACAAATATATTTGACCCTCCTGACAACTGTGAGAGGTAAATATTGTTCCTGTTTCAGGCTCAGGAAGGTGAAGCAATTTGACAAACATCAGAAGTAGGGGAAATGAGCCAGGCCTGGTGATAAAGACCTATAATCCCAGTTCCTCAGATGGCTAAGGCAGGAGGATCACAGGTTCCTTGGCTATGGAATGAGCTCAAGACCAGCCCAGGCAATTTAATGAGACCCTGTCTCAAAGTAAAAAAAAGAGAATTAGAGATATAGCTCAGGGTAGAATGGTTGCCTAACATGTGCAAGGTCCTAAATTCAACCCCTAGTACTTCAGAAGTAGAACTGGGTTGGAAGTTTGCATTTGCTTGACTGAAATGCATGCTTTGGCCCACCAGACAGTGCCACTGAGTAGTATTCAGATCCACCAGGAGGCAACAATAACATCAATGAAGCAGGTCTTTTGAAAACAAGAATAGTTTCCATCCTTTGCTTCTAATGTCCTTTTCCTATTACTGCCTGTCCTCTGTTGCATCTTGCACTTTCCTCTTTGTTTTCATATATATATATATATATATATTGTTTACAGTGGTGGGGATCTTAGGGCCTCATATATAGTATTCAAACAGTTTAACACTGAACTGCATCCCTAACCCTGTTTTGATTTTTAAAAAGTATTTATTCTAGCCGGGCATGGTGGCACTTGCCTTTAATCCCAGCACGAAGGAGGCAGAGCACAGGCAGATCATTGTGCGTTCAAGGCCAGCCTGGTCTACATAGCTCAGGCCAGCTGGGACTACAGGGAGACCCTGTCTCAAAAAGACAAAAAAAAATTATTTATTCTTATTTTATGTGTATGAGAGTTTTTCTTGCATGTATGTAACTGCGCTGCATGTGTATAATACCTGCAGAAGCCAAAAGAGGGGCATCAGATCCCCTGGAACTGGAATTAGGGATGGTTGTTAGCCACTATGTAGATGCTGGGAATTGAACCTCTGAAAGAGAAGCCAGCTCTTAATCACTGAATTGTCTCTCCAGTCCTCCATTTTGATTGTTTGAAATTTATTTTAGTCGTCTTACCAGAGAAGCAGAGCAGTTAATAGAAATTCAGACTCAAGAGGATGAGCGTGTGCGCACGCATGTGCACGTGCTAGAGAGAGAGAGAAATATGATTTTGCAGTGATTTAACTACAAATTCATAATAGTATCTGACCTGTTTCTATCAAGCTGTGATAACAGCAGCAAAAACAATAAACCCTTTTAAAACTCTTTGGACCCCTTTCTCTTCTACAAAAAGACTCATGAGAGGATTTTTAGATATACTGGTAACTCCTGCCTTAGTGCTTTGTGACATTTGATGATTCTTTGTTTCTTACAAATATTCAGCATCCAACTACCAAAATCTAATGAGGATTGTCTGTGAGATGAGGGGGTGAAGCACAGGGGACTGTTGGGCATATGGAACTATTAGTGGAAGGATGACATTTGCTATTTATTCAAATCCACAGACTATACATATTGAACCCTAATGTAAACTAGTTTAATAATTATAACAAATATAATTGGGGCAGTTCTGGGTGGGGGGAGAGAAAGAATATTTGACAATTTCTATTTCTTGTTTTGAAATTTTGACAATAGACTACTTTCAAACGCATAAATGTTGCAAGAATCACACAGAGAACTTTCCTGTATCTTTCACTTAATTTCTCCATTGGTCGTCATCAGGCATTATGCTTATTTTCTCTTTTTGAATCATTTGGGAGCAAATTGCTTACTTGATATTCTACTATCTATTATTGCTGCAGTGAAAATTTTCTGATAAGAAGGAACCCTTTTCTACATGACCACTGTATAACCATTAAAGTCAGGAAATTAACATTGACATAACATTGCCATCTTATCCACAGACCCCTTCCAATTCTGGCTTTGTTTTCATTATATCCTTTTTAGGTTCAGCATCCAGCATGGATTCTAATTTGAGACAAATGGAAAGTTTTTAGCATAGATTGGGTATTAAATGCTAAGAAATTATTGTATCATTCTGGAGTGTTAGTGGTAGACTATATGTTTAACATCCTTAGAGTTCTGGGTTCAGTCCCCAACAACTCCCCCTCCCCAAAATAAATTGTTACATTTTAAAAAATCAGCTTTTAAAATAATATTTATTTGTTTGTTTACTTATTTGTAAGGGAGGGCAAGTGTCAGAAGGTCAGAAGACAACTTGGAGGAATCAGCTCTCTCTATTAAGGGGTGGTCCAGGGATGGAACTCAGCTCCTCTGGCTTTGTGACAAGTGCCTTTACCTGCTGAGCCATTTCACCAGATGGAAATTGTTAAAATTTTAAGGCATAGCCAGGCGTGGTGGTATACGCCTTTAATCCCAGCACTCTGGATACAGAGGCAGGCGGATCTCTGTGAGTTTTACCAGCCTAGTCTACATAATGAGCTCCAGGACAGCTGGGGCTACAGGGAGACCCTGTCTCAAAAAAAAATTTTTTTAAGGCATAAAGATGACCTTATATTGGCTACCAATGTCCTTTTCTGTTACAGATACATATATAAGTATTTATAGAAAAAATAATACGATGTTTGATATATAAAACGTTCCTGGGGGAGGAAAAGATGAAATAAAATTGGCGCGATAGCTAAAGTTGTTGGACTTGGGTGATGAGTACAGAGGGATTATTATATTTCCTCTGATTTTAAGTGTTTGAAAATTCCATAATGCATGGAGTGTTTAAATACAAAAGACCAATTGGAAAATAGAAGACCTTTAGAGATTGGCGTGATAGGACCATATTTGTGATAGAGGAACATAACTTTGGCTGCGATGAGAAGAGTGGCTTAACAAGGGCAAGGATGACGACAGAGGCTGAGCACAGTGAAGATGTGGTGGCCTGAATTTAATGGCAGTGAGATGGAGCTTAGGAGCAAACTCAAGAAATGGTAACAATTGGAAAGCGAGAGATGAGAGAAAGGGAATCCAGAATCTTCCATCTGCCAAATGGCACCACCATTTACCTAGCCAGGAAGCACTAGAACGGGAACAGGTCTCCAGTGAAGAGACGGAAAAGATGGTTTAAGAGGCTTTTGTGGTCTCTGGCCCGAACCCAGGGAATAAATGACAGCAAGATGCCCTGAGTGAACAACGTAAAAGGGAAGAGGGCAGACAGGTTTACACTAGCTGAACTGGGCGGGTAACATTGTAATTCTCCTCGCAGGAATGTATCTTAAAAAGATGCCTGAGAGGCAAAGCAACTTTTCAGTTGAAAATGCAAGGTGATAGGGAAGACTCTCAGAGATGGGGAATATTGGGCCAGAAGGCACGCATGAGGATAATTCAGTTGATGGCTCAAGGGATGAGTGAGGTTTAATAGTCTGGAAGGGGTATAGTGTTTGCGGTTTTTCCACAGAGTAGTCTCATTGTGGGAAGGATAATCGAGATAAGTGACCTCATAACTCATCAGACTGCCCTATAAAAATTTCCTCACTAGCCTCTCTAGGGTGGAGGAGTTCTTGTACCTGTGTCTATTACAGACTTTTTGCAAAAATTAATTTGTCTTTGTCATTCCCACCTTAGTGATTGGTTCCCCGACGTGTACCTGCAAGTCCCTCCCGCTGAATGCGAGGAAAGCTCTCTCTCCCCGCCTTGTTCATACCGGAAGTCCTCCAGGGTCGGTAGATGGGCGCCCCACCCTCAACGTCGTCCCCCACAGCCCACTGTCTCCAGCGTGGAGCCCCGCCTACCAGTCCTTCTCCAGCTCGGAGTCCCGCCTACCAGTCCTTCACCAGCTCGGAGCCCCGCCTTCAAGGAGGTCAGCTAGGCTAGACCCGCCCCGAGATCGTCTCCCGCGTGATGCCGGTCCCCAGGTTCCCCTCAGGCGCAGGGCCCCGCCCCCAGCCAGTCCACCGCACCGGGCTCCGCCCCCAGGCCAGTCTCTGGCGCGAGGCCCCGCCCTGAGCTCGGCACTGCGCCGCCGGGCTCTTGAGCCCTTCTGGACCTTCAGCAGGCCGCGGCTCCGTAGCCCCTGCGTAGCCATGGCTGGGGGCCGCGGAGCCTCCGGAAGCGGCCGGGCTGAGCCTCAGGAGAGCTATTCGCAGCGACAGGACCACGAACTGCAAGCCCTGGAAGCCATTTACGGCTCTGACTTCCAAAACGTGCGGCCTGACGCGCGCGGACGGGTAGGAACGTGGCTGGGCTGGCCTGAGCTGACTTACCCCTGCCCGGCTCCCCAGCCCGCCGCCGGAGCCCGGGCGCCTCCAGATCGGGGCGACCCTTTAAATCTTTCAGTCCCACCACGAGCTGCCTTCCCCCCAGGTCGGCTGCTTTTTCACTTAGCACCGCTTGTATTCCCGGGGACACCCGGAACATCCCTGCCGCCTTCCAGCCTTTTCCTCTTCCCCGCCCCCAGCCTTCAAGGTGGATTACAGCACACTCTAGTGCTACTTGGTTTTGGGGATGCTTTGGGGGCGTTGGTCCAGGCCTCACAATGCTCTCTGCTCTCAACTTCCAGCTCTCACAGTGTATTCAAAACCCTGCACTTTAAAAATCCTGTTTCCGGTGTGGAGGAATTTTCTGTACGTTCCTCTGAGGCATTTGGCGTAAAATGGGTATATAATGCATTTCCTGTAGCTGCAATGGAGCATTTACTGTATCTACATCTATTTAAGTGATACTTGATTTAAAACATTGCTTTCCTTTTTGTGGAACAGATAGATGCACTATATGCTGCTGACTGCTTTTCCCTGTCCTTGAAAAGCCCATCTGCCAGACTAAAATGTTTCTGAGTTTTGTTGTTTTGGAAGTACTGCTTTCCTTCATCAGCCTTAATTCTGTCGTCAGTTTACAGTAGCTGCCTTACCTCCATATGTAGAATTTCCTCAAGAAATGGGTTCTCCTGGAACTATCGGGGCAAACGATTCTTCCTCTAACCCAATGTGCTTCTTCCTTAAATACCTGCTAATTTAGGAAATGGGAACGCAGCTCCAGACAAAACTTTGCCCTCAGAGAGCTTACTTTTCTAGTGTTTAATTTTGAATTTCTTGAAACTTTTTGTACTGTTTATACATACTTATGATAAATAGTAAGATAAGCTAGGGATCATCTGGCAACTTCTCTGTTTCCAGAGAAGTAGGAAGTAGGACAATTAAACAGTCAAAACAGGTATCACAAAATGTTTAGGGGACTCAAGGGGATAGGGGTTAGGGGTTAGGGGACTTCATGCAGAGCCAGCTTATTTATTTTAGCTTTTTGTTTTTGTTGTTTTCCAAACACTGCAGGAAAATGGAAAGAGAAAAGGCAGCTACTTTTAGGTAATGATGCTGTTAATCCCATGAATTTACACCTGATCCCTATAAGCCCAAGAATTGACAGCTGGTGGCCTTTATATACACAAACAAGCTGTAAGTAGTACCCTGGAGCATAGGGAATATAGCCACCCACACTTTCATGGGCCTCCTGGGCAATTACTTGATGCTCATACTGATGAATCAGAGTCACTCCTGCAACAAGCACTTAATAGCACCTGCCATTCTTGAGGGAAAGATTTTTCAGATCCACAATCCTGAATCCAGAGCCCTTGAGGCCTGATGGCTTTCAGAATCCAGCAGTGTTCTTGTCCAGTCATGAGAGGACCTTCATATAGCAGCCAGTGCCTTCATGCCTGGGGGCGTGGCCAAAACTCAAACTATGAAATGTGTGCCTATACAATGGCAGTCGGAACAGAATAAAGACTATTAATTACTTCATGTCATTTCAAACCAAATTTACTGCCAAAAAATTCAGATCAGACTTTTTTTTTTTAACTTTTAGGGGGCTATGTTAAGAGACATAAGTTCAGTTTTATAGCATATCATTCAGAAATAGCTAAACATTTTAGGGTCTATATCAAAAATTAATTTGAATACAAAAAAGTTTGGGCACCAGCCATTAAAAATATATTTTGTAAACTGGGTATGGTGGCACATGCCTTTAGTCTCAACACTTGGGAGGCAGAGGTAGGTGGATCTCTGTGAGTTCAAGGCCATCTGGGGCTACAGAGAGACCCTGTCTCAAAAAGACCAATATATATATATAGTAATTTAAGGATGTTTAAAAATTCACATCAACTTTCTTGGCTAGCTTTCCATATCAGCAAATGGTCTGCTCACTTATTTGGTGGGCATTGCAAACCCTTGCCTCTGCCTGGACAGTGGTTGTATATGGTGCACTCCTCTTTCCCCTTCATCAACATCGAGTGCGTCATGCTTTTCAGCTTGTAGGTGAATGAAACATGTCCCATTGTCATTTATATTTCTTTAGTTAGAAAGCATGTCGACCACCTTTGTTTGTAAATCATTGATTTTTTTTTTCCTTGTTCTTTGAACTGTTCATGCTCATTGATTTATTTTTCCACTCTCTGGACTGCTTTCTTTCTTGCAAAAACCTAGATATGTGTTAGGAGAATTAATGTTTCTGGTAATATGTTACAAATATCTGCCCCTAATTAAACATGTGTATTTTATGTTTATGTAATTTATGCATTTAAATTTTTTAGTAGACCTCAAATTAACTTTGTTTTATTGACCCTGGGGGTTTTTCCCCCTCAGGAAAGACTTTTCAGGCTGGTGGTAGTGTGTGTGTCTACCAGGCCCTAGGTTTGATCCCCAGCACCAGGAAACAAAAAAGGAAAAGGAAGAAAAGACTCCCCTGTTTCAGTGTTACCAAAAATAAATTCTTGATGTTTTCTTTTAATCTTTTCATGGCTTCATTTTTTTTAAAGCTCCTATCAAATATAGAAATAGTTTTGCAGGCTGGAAAAATGGCTCAGTGATTAAGAGCTCTGACTGCTCTTGCAGAGGACCGGGATTCGAATACTACCACGCACATGGAGGCTAACAACTGTTCATAACTCCAATTCCAGGGGATCCGACACCCTCTTCTGACTTTGCTGGCATTGCATGACACAGGTACACTTACAGCATGCAGGCAAAACACTTACACATAAAATAATAGAAATAAATAAATAAAAATTTTAAGAAATAGCTTTGTAAAAGACTGCATCCTAGCTCCACCATGATAGGGGTCTGGATCACATTCTCTTTGCTCACCACTCTCAGAGCAACAGTTGAGAGTTTGGGTTTTTTCTACTAATTTGAAGTGCTGCCTTTACATCATACAAGACTACTGTTTTCGCAAAAACAGGTCCATGTATTTGTTTACCCCTACATTCCAGCACTTGATAAAAAATTTTTCCCAAATTGCTATTGATAATTCCACATAGTCTAACACCTCTATGTCTGGGGACATCACCTCCACATACTATCAGAAAATAATTTTGAGATTGATTTTCCAGTACATGAACTTATGAGGGACACATTCAAGCTGTAGTACCTAGTCCAGTTCTCCTCATTTCTATTACAATAGTATTGCATATACTCAGGAAGAATTCAGATTCTGAAAGTTTTAATGTCTGTTCAAAATGGACTTGTACTAAATGTTAAAGCCACTTTTTAAAAAAATTCTGACCAGCTTGACAGAGGTAAATATTTGAGAAAGGATAAATATTTGAGAAAGGATAATGAATGAACTTTGTGATTATTACAAAAAGTATTCATTTTTAGAAAAAGATGAATGGGAAAGGTCAATATTTAAGGCATTTCATCTAAAACCTAGAGGAATGTTGTCAGATTCCATTTTCTTGGCACTACTATTAGCATTTTTCTGAGCTGTTACTGACAGGGGTGTATGTGTGTGTATGTATGTATGTATGTATGTATGTATGTATGTATGTATGTATGTAGTGTATACCCACGTGTTTGCAGGTGATATTGTACCTCAGCACATGTGGAAGCCAGAGGAGGGAGGACGTGGGATGTCTTCCTCTGTTGCTTCCCCCAACCCCTTCTTTTTCTTTTGAGACAGGATCTCTCACGGAATCTGACACTCACAGTTTAGGATAGGCTTCTCCCAGGGGTCTGCCTGTCGCTACCCTCCAATACTGGAATTCCACATTACATGGACATGCAGATGTGCCTGGCTTTTACATGGAGTGCTTGGGATCTGGATTAAGGTCCTCCTACTTGTACAGCAAGTGCTTTTTAGTCACTGAGCCATCTCCCCAGTCCACTGTCTCATATTTGGTTCTGCCTAGACTTAAAACCAGACCTGCCCCGATTATCTCCCCCCAAGATGGCACTTTATACTTGAATTTGTTCTGGTTTCACATAGACTACTTTCTTCTATTATAGATAAGGGGAAGAACAAGAAGCCATACTAAGCAAAGACTTACCATCAAGTTCGAGGAGAATATGACTAGCAGAAACCTAAATAACAGCTCTAGACCAGACACCAGAAACTTATTTGAATTAAGTACCTAATACACAAGTTACTATGGACTTCTCAGTGTACAGTTATGTGCATTCCCATTATGTGTGGTGGACATTTGTATAACAAATTAATTTCCTAAACCTTTTCCTCACTTTGCTACCCATTTTTAGTTTAGTGAAGTTTAGTAATGGGCCTGTCATCCTCACACTTTAGTCTTTGACTCTTGAAACCTGATCATTTTCAGCTGTCTGAAGTGGTAAATTCCTCAGGTATTAATAATCCTAACCCTTCCCTCTGGTACTTTTAACCAGCATTGGCACATGTTTAAATTACCAGTTCATTTCATTGGGCCTCAGTGTTTAGGAGGTAGAAGTGCCTAAGTGAAGTCCTGTTAACAGCTTTCTGAGCTTTCTGTTACTATCACAAAATACCTGAGATGAGCAATTTTTTTTTCTTTTTGGTCTTTGGAGACAGGGTCTCCCTGTAGCCCCACCTGGCCTAGAACTTGCTATGCAGATCAGGCTGGCCTTGAACTCAGAAATCTGCCTGCCTCTGCCTCCCAAGTGCTGGGATTAAAGGCATGCCACCACACCAGGCGGCAAGACGAGCAATTTGTAAATGAGAAAACATTGATCTTGGCAACTTAATGGTCAGTTGGCTTTCCCTCTGGGGCCTTGTGAAGGCAGTGCACCATGGTGAGAATGTGTGACGGGTGGTCCATTCACCACATGGCCACTACTGAGGAAGGAAGAGAAGGGGCTTGGGAGCCCATCAACCCTTCAAGGGTACACCCTGAAAGACTTTAGACTTTCTACTAGGCTCTGCCTCCATCATCTCCTGGGAATGAGGACTTTAAGTTGGACATTCAAGATGC